GCTTGAGCAAAACGGTGAAACCCTGTCTCTACAAGTAAAAAAAATATATAAATAAAAATTTAAAAATTGGAGAACAGATAAAATGAAATTTTATCTATTTATTATTTATTTTAAATAGATAAAATAACATTTTAAATAGATAAAATTTTATCCATTTTATTTTACTTTTCAAAAGATCATTTAAGGCTACTATGAGGACCTTTATGCACATAAACTAGAAAACCTGGAAAAGATGGATAAATTCCCAGAAAAATACACCCTAGGCGAGGCACAGTGGCTCACGCCTGTAATTCCAGCACACTGGGAGGCCAAGGAGGGGAGATCAACTGAGGTTGGGAGTTCAAGACCAGCCTGGCCAACATTGCAAGTCCCAGTCTCTACTAAACACACAAAAATTAGCCAGGTGTGGTAATGCACACCTGTAATCCCAGCTACTCCAGAGGCTGAGACAGGAGAATAGCTTGAACTTGGGAGCCAGAGATCACGCCACTGCACTCCAGCCTGGGCAACAGCAAGACATCATCTCAAAAAAATAAAAATACAACCCTCCTAGCTTACATCAGGAAGCATTAGATACCCTGAACAGACCAATAACAAGCAGTGAGATTGAGATGGTAATTTAAAAATTACCAACAGAAAAAAGTCCAGGACCAGAGGGATTCACACCAGTATTCTTCCAGACATTCAAAGAAGAATTGGTACCAATCATTTTGACACTATTCCATAAGATGGAGAAAGAAGGAACCCTTCTTAACTCATTCTATGAAGCCAGCACCACCCTAATACCAAAACCAGGAAAGGATATAACCACAAAATAAAACTACAGATTGGTATTCTTGATGACCATAAATGCTAAAATTCTTAACAAAATACTTGTCAACCAAATCCAACAACATATCAAAAAAATAATCCCCCATTATCAGGTGCGTTTCATACAAGGGATCTAGGGATGGTTTAACATCTGCAAATCAATAAATGTCACACACTACATAAACAGAATTAAAAACAAAAATCACCTGATCATTTCAACAAAGGCAGAAAAGGCATTTGACAAAATCCAGATCCCTTTATGATTATAACTCTCAACAAAATCGGCATAAAAGGGACATACCTTAATGTAATAAAAGCCATCTATGGAAAACCCACCACCAACATAATACTGAATGGGGAAAAGTTGAAAGCATTCCCTCTGAGAACTGGAACAAAACAAGGATGCCCACTCTCACCACACCTCTTCCACATAGTATTGGAAGTCCTAGCCAGAACAATCAGACAAGAGAAAGAAATAAAGGGCATCCAAATCAGTAAACAGGAAGTCAACCTGTCACTATTTGCTGATTATGATTGTTTACCTTGAAAACCCTCAGAACTCCTCCAGAAAGCTCCTAGAACTGATAAAAAATAATTCAGCAAAGTTTTTGGTATTCAAATCAATATCTCTTCTATACAAGATTGATGTACACAAATCAGTAGCTCTTCCACACACCAACAGCAACCAAGCGCAGAATCAAATCAAGAACTCAATGCCTTTTACAACATCTGCAAAAAAGATAAAATACTTAGGAATTTACTTAACCGAGAGTGAAAGACCTTTATGAAGAAAACTACAAAATACTGCTGAAAGAAATCACAGATGACACAAAAAATGGAAACACATCCCATGCTCATTGATGGGTAGAATCAATATTGTGAAAATGACCATACTGCCAAAAGCAATCTACAAATTCAATGCAATCCCTATCAAATACCACCATCATTCTTTACAGAATTAGAAAAAAACAATTCTAAAATTCATATGGAACCAAAAGCAAGCCCACATAGCCAAAGCAAGACTGGGCAAAAAGAACAAATCTGAAGCCGTCACACTACCTGATTTCAAACTAAGCTATAAGGCCATAGTCACCAAAACAGCATGGCACTGGTACAAAAATCGGCACATAGACCAATGGAACCGAGTAGAGAACCCAGAAATAAACGCAAATACTTACAGCCAGCTGATCTTCAACAAAGCAAACAAAATCATAAAGTGGTGAAAGCACCTTTTCAACAAATGGTGCTGGGATAATTGGCTAGCCACATGTCGGAGAATGAAACTGGATCTTCGTCTCTCACCTTACACAAAAATCAACTCAAGGTGAATTAAGGACTTACACCTAAGACCTGAAACCATAAAAATTCTAGAAGATAACATTAGAGAAACCCTTCCAGACATTGGCTTAGGCAAGGATTTCATGACCAACAAAACTCAAAAGCATAATGCAATAAAAACAAAGATAAGTAGCTGGTGCCTAATTAAACTAAAGAGCTTTTGCACGGCAAAAGGAACAGCCAGCAGAGTAAACAAATAACCCACAAATAGGAAAAATCTTCACAATCTATATATCTGACAAAGGAATATCCAGAATCTACAATGAACTCAAACAAATCAGTAAGAAAAAAAACAATTTCATCAAAAAGTGGGCTAAGGACATGAATAGACAATTCACAAAAGAAGATATACAATTGGCCAACAAGCATATAAAAAGTGCTTAATAACACTAGTGATCAAAAAAATGCCACTTTGGGAGGCTGAGGCAGGTGGATCATGAGGTCAAGAGCTCGAGACCATCTTGGTCAACATGGTGAGACCCCGTCTCTACTAAAAATACAAAAAAATTAGCTGGGCATGGCGTGTGCCTGTAATCCCGGCTACTCGGGAGGCTGAGGCAGGAGAATTGCCTAACCCCAGGAGGCAGAGGTTGCAGTGAGCCGAGATTGCGCCATTGCACTCCAGCCTGGGTCACAAGAGCAAAACTCCATCTCAAAAAAAAAAAAAATGCAAGTGAAAACCACAATGCAATACCACCTCATTCCTGCAAGAATGGCCATATTCAAAAAATCAAAAAACTGTAGATGCAGGAGGCATGGATGCATGAACAAGGAATACTTCAACATTGCTGGTATGAATATAAACTAATACAGCCACTATGGAAAACAGTGTAGACTCCTTAAAGAACTGAAAGAACTATCATTTGATCCAGCAATCCCACTACTGGGTATCCACCCAGAGGAAAAGAAGTCATTGTTCAAAAAAGATACTTGCACACACATTTATAGCAGCACACTTTACAATTGCAAAATTATGGAGCTAACCCAAATGCCCATCAATCAACAAGTGGATAAAGAAACTGTGATATATATATATCCACACCACATTATATATGCATTAGTAGAAAAAGCATATATATACATATTAGTAGAATAATATATACAAACATAATGTATACATATAATATATACATTAATACATATATATATATCACCTATATATAAATATATGTGTATATTTATGTAATATATTATATATTAATATATACCTAATATATACATCAGTGAAATAAGTATATATACATATATACACACACACACATATACACATGATGGAATACTATGCAGCCATAAAAAGGAATGAATTAACAGCATTAGCATTGACCTGTATGAGATTGGAGACTATTATTCTAAATGAAGTAACTCGGGGATGGAAAACAAAACATCATATGTTCTCACTGATATGTGGGAGCTGAGCTATGAGGACGCAAAGGCATAAGAATGATGCAATGGACTTTGGGGACTTGGAAGGAAGAGTGACAGTTGGGTGAAGGATAGAAAACTACAAATATCGTGCCGTGTACACTGCCCAGGTGATGGATGCACCAAAATCTCACAAGTCACCACTAAAGAACTTACTCCTGTAAAGAAATACCATTTGTACCCCAATAACTTACAGAACAAAAAATACATAAGATATTACCACACATCTGTTAGAATGGCTATTATAAAAAAAAATGAAAGATAACAAACATTGGTGAGACTGTAAAAAACAAATGGAACCACTGCACGCTGTTGGTGGGAATGTCAAATGGTGCAGCCATGGAAGACAGTATGGCAGTTCCTCAAGAAATTAAAAATAGAACTACCACATGGTCCAGCAATGTCACTTTTGGGTATACATCCAAGAAAATGGGGGGTAAAATCTTGAAGAGATACCTGTACTCCCATGTTCACTGCAGCATTATTCGCAATAGCCAAAGCATAGAAAAATCCCAAGTGTCCACTGACAGATAAATGGATAAAGAAACTGTGACATATACATTCAATGGAATATTAGCCTTAAAACAGAAGGGAATCCTACCATTTGTGACAACATGGATGGGCCTGGGTGACATCAATGGAAGAAGTCAGTCACAGAAGAACAAATACTACATGATTTCTCTTACATGAGGCGTCTAAAATAGTCAAAGGCATAGAAGTAAACAATAGAATACTGGTTACCAGGGGATAGGAAGAGGGAAATATGTCAAGTTGTTGTTCAATAGCTATAAAGTTACAGTTATACAAGATGAGTAAGTTCCAGGAACCTGCTGTACAACATAGGGTTAAAAATAAGATGCGGTGGCTCATGCCTGTAATCCCAGCACTTAGGGAAGTCTAGCAGGGTACCTGACGTCAGGAGTTCAAGACCAGCCTGACCAACATGGAGAAACCCCATCACTGCTGAAAATACAAAATTACCCAGAGGTGGTGGCACATGCCTGTAATCCTAGCTACTTGGGAGGCTGAGGCAGGAGAATCACCTGGACCCAGGAAGCAAGGCTGCAGTGAACTGAGATTGTGCGATTGCACTCCAGCCTGAGCAACAAGATTGAAACTCTGTTAAAAATATATATATATTGTGTACCTAAAAATTCATCAAGAGAATAAATCTCAAGTTAAGTGTTCTTACCAAAAAAAAAAAAAAAAAAAGTGGGGAGTTACAAGGAAACTTTTGGAGGTGATAAATTTATTACCTGGATTATGGTAATGGTAACATGAGTGTATGCACATAAGTAAATTGTATACATTAAGTATGCACAGTTTTCAGTACACCTATTATACCTCATTAAAACTGAGAGGAAAATGAATAGGAGAGTAACTTTGGGATGGCATTGCTAAGTAAGCTACAGACTTCATGACAAACTCACCAGTTTTTCAGTAATGTCCTTTATCTGCTCCAGGGTCCATATTGCATTCAGGAGTGATTTCTCTTCAGTTGCCTCCAATCCTTTCATACTCTCTTAATGTTACCTTGTCTTTCGTGACCTTGATGGATGTTTATTTTGTATAAGTCTTATGAGAAGGAAAAGTATTTGGATTAAAGAATGTCTCACGCACAAACACAGGTACACACAAAAAATGCCATTAAGGAGCAGAAAACAAAATTACGTGAGAACAAATATTTGTAAAGGAAAATAAACAAGCAGTTTCTATCGACCCCCTCCTGGTCTCCTTAGGTAGGCAGCTCCAGCAGCTTCATTAAGAAATCCAGTTGATCTTCAGAAGAGTTCAAGGGTCTCCAACAAAGAGCAAATAATGAACAATGTATGAGTTTAAAATTCAGCATGTCCAATCTCTTGGCTTGCCTGGCCCACAATGGAAGAAGAACTGTCTTGGGCCACACATAAAATACACCAGCACTAACAATAGCTGATACACACACACACACAAAAAAAAAATTGCAAAAAAAATCTCGTAATGTTTTAAGAAAGTTTATGATTTTGAAGGCCACATTCAAAGCTATCCTGGGCTGCATGTGGCCCATGGGCTGCAGGTTGGACCAGCTTGATTTAAATGTGTTCAGAGGAGATTCGTTAGTCTCCCAATTGATCTGCTGTACTGCCAAATGGACTTTTTTTCTCTAGTTATTTTGCTAAATTCTGTGAAAGGATGGCTGTAGGGGTGCATTCATTTAAATTTGGAGAAATTTCTAACCAAGATTATAAATTTAGCTTTAATATAGCTGATGTTAAGCCAGGCTTACTGACAATAATGAACCCACAGGCTCAGATATCTTAAGACTATCCTTGGTCCACAACAACAAACAATGTCATCAACACAGAAGAGGTCACTTTAGGTAAGCAAGACAGCATGCGTCCAATTAATTAAATGGCCTTGTCAGATTATTTAAATTTTTGCTAGTAGGAAGGGAGGCAATTTTGCAACATTTAGAAATGAAATTCCTTTTGTAAGATAATTCTATTGCCAGTAGCATTATATACCAGAAGTTTTGAAAATGTGTTACAAGCAACACTTTGAAAACGTGTTACAAATGTTAAAACATGTTCTAGATAATATTCCTTTCTATTTCATTGATGTTTGTCAAGAAATAAAAGCAAAAATCACCTTTTTCCTCTTTATTACTCTTGCGTTTTTGCTTGGGCAATAAAGAGGCATATAGCAGTTATTAACAGTGAAACGGTTGTACTAAAACATTGGTCAAGGAACTTTTCCACAGTGTTCATTTTGCTTCTTTCTTTTTTAGAAAACTTGTCCAAAGTTTTGAAGGAATATACAAGATATCAGTAGGTCTGTAAATTGGGACAATAGAGAGTTTCTATTTTATTAAAACTCAATAGACATCACTTCAAATCCACTCTGAAAAACTTCTGCAAAGAATTATGCAAGGTAAAGTCTGTAAGAAAAAGTGATACTGCCTCTTGCTTCCAGTTCTGGTAGTGAAGAAAAGGGAAAAAAAAACGTATTTTGCTATTATTTACAGCTGATTTTCACTGATATTTTAATATCAATAAATCAAACTATCAATAAATTAATAAGAACAAAATTAAAATTCCATACAGTAAAATCCACCATAATCAAAGTCAAAATACAAATTGAAAATAACAGGAAAAGGTATTTGAAATTCCTATCATAGAAAAAGGGATAATTATCTTTTTAATGACCTCAGAAGAATCAATAACACAGGCAATCCAAGAAAAGAATGTACAAAGAATAGGAACATGTAAGCTACAAAAACTATAAACAGTTCTTAAAAGCAGGAGAAGATGCCCCATCTTAAGCAGACAAAAGAGAAAATTAAAATTAAAATTAAATGCCATTCTTCATCAAACTGGCAAATATCAAAAAGCTTTACAGTTCTCCACATTGGTGAAATTATAGGGAACAAGCCATCTTCACATGTTGCTGATGGGAGTATAGAGAAAGTGGGAGATAGTATGGACAATATGAAGATTGGTTGGAAAACGTCTATCAAACGTACAACTGTTCGAGGATATTCGCTGCCATACTGTTTGCAATAGAGAAAGGTACCCATCAGTGGTTAAATAGATTATGGAAACATACATAAGTGGAATGTGATACTGGAAATGGTAAGGAAGTTTCATATGTAATGATTTTGGGGGGAACCTCACCTTTAAAGACTGAACCCTCAATCTCCTACCAAGGATCAGGTGTTAGGGCATGGGTAACAATGTAAAAATTCTTCTCTACATATAATTCTGGCACTCGAAGAGCTAAGGAGTACTAGGTTCATTTCCAACTGGAGGCTGTAAGGACAGGCAAACTCCTTGTCTTAGCTTGAAAAAAGAGGAAGGGGAAAAAGCTGAGCCTTAAGAAGGTCTACTTGCATCTACTTTTTAGGGAGTGTACAGAAGCAAGAATGAGGGGTTGGGGAGTGAGGCAGGGAAGAAAATGGTGATGCATTGTCAAGCTGGCCACAGTAAAACATGATGAATTGCTGCATCTTTCGGAATCAGTCTCTGAGAAGCTGTATGAAATGAATCTCAAGACTACCTGTCAGGGAGAGTAGAGGGAGGAAAATGGAAAACAAATACATCCATTACCCATCAGTTCCTGTATTATACTGATCAAAGCCTTACTGCAGGGAGCACTAACTACCCAGTTCTACCAAGTTGTAAATTTATGGAACCAAGTAGAACTCCACATTTTCATGTCATCAGAGAGGCCCCGGGCAGGCACAGGTACTAGGTCAATCACCTTTGGGGACTCAGTCAGAGCCCTGCAAAGCTTGTCATTAGAGCAAAGGAGGGAACAGAAGATGGGTGAGGCTGACAGAAGCTGAAGCAATGCATGAGGGAATCTGATACAGTCCCTGGACCTATGGCAGTGTAGTAGAAGTGGCTGCATGGGGCATCTAGGGCAGAGAAGTTCTAAGGAAGCCTTCCTGGTTCTCCAGCAGCAACGTAGCATCACAGAAGAACACATTTGGAGGGCATCTGCAAAGGGCCATGGAAGAAGGCTGAGGAGAGATAGAGCTATCCAGCAGATCCTGAACAAGTCTTGCCATTGTGACAGGTGGACATAGAAGTGGAAAGGGTTGGGCCCTGCTACCAGACTCCAGTGGTGACATGCCACCTCAGCAGAGAACACAACTATGGATTGTACTCCTCAACAGGTGTGCTGCCCCACAGTTGTCCCCAAGCCATGCTCTCAGGCCCCACAAAACTTCTTTCCCTGGGAGAGAAGAAAAAAGCCCCAGAATGGGGCTTTTAATCAAAACTAGAATAAAATGGGTAAATGTTCTGCCACTGAGCAGAAATGAGGCCCAGGAGAGAGATGAAATAGAATTATAGAGAAATAAAGTCACATTTCTAGCATTCCCAAGGAGGTGGTTTGAAGATAGCAGTTCTGCTACTCGTGTAGTGGCTGACAGTGGCAGCAGTATTGAGACTCAGAGCACGTTCAAACTGGTCTAAAATCTCTCTCTCAGGAGTGGCATTTGCAAAGAAATTCTGATCACTAATTAATCACTAAGGCTGGTATCTTAATGAAAGTAATATTTTCTTTAGACAAGTGCATTACTTTGCTAGGACTGCCCTAACAAAGTACCACAGACTAGATTAACAACAGAATTTTATTTTCTCACAGTTCTAGAGGCTAAAAGACCAAAATCAAGGCATCAGTTGGATTGGTTCCTTCTGAAGACCATGGGGGTGGATCTCTTTTTCCAAGTCTCTCACCTTGGCCTCTAGATGGCCATCTTCTCCCTCTGTCTTCACATCATCTTCCTTTTGTTCAGGTCTGTGTCTAAACTTCTCTTCCTACAAGAACAAAAGTTACATCAGATTAGGGTCCATCCTAATGACCTCACTTTAATCACCCCTATAAAGTCTGCATTTCAAAAAAGAGTCACATTTCGAGGTAATAGGAGTTAAGACTTCAACATATGAATTTTTTTTAGAAGAACTGCCCATTCAGCCCATAACAAAAAGCTATCTTCCCTCCTGCCCCCACCAGGTGTGTGAAGTACTATGAGACAAGCCAGAGAGAGTCAGCTGAAGAAACTCCAATGGCCATCACTGGAACAATTTGAGCAAATAGTAATAATGATACTATTGGATTATAAGTCATAAAATAAATGAGTCCCTATGAATACAAATAAACAGTTGAATAAATACACAAATTGGAGATATGGGACATCTTTACAAAAGAATTCCAATTCATAAATGTAAAAGAAGAGAGGTAAATAAAAATCACTGTTAAGCAAGCACCACAGTGATAGCGGTTACAGAAAGTTCTATGAATGGATGCTAAAATTAGTGGGCAAAATCTCAAGGAAAAATAAGATGTTCGTGTACTCTTATCTCCCCCACCATTCATTTAATATGAAAAATAACTTTACAGCTGAAATCCAGCAGATAACACCCAAGTGATCTAAATTAACATCACCAATAATAGGACATCTCACTCCCTGATATGATGTGCTGAGGAGGACACAGAATCACCTATGATATCCTCACCAGCATTTGCATAAAAAATGCATGGCTTCAATCTCATCATGGGAAAACACCAGACAAGCCCAAATTGAGAGACAGTCTACAAAAAATCAAAAGTATCAAGATCATGAGACACAGCAAGAATATGGAACTATCACAGTTGGGGAAGACTAAAGAGATAAGACTAAATTCAAGGGACATCTTGGATAGAGTCCTTAAACCAAAAAAGGACATTAGGGAAAAGGAAAAAAGAAAACGAGTGAAATTTGAACAAAGTCTGTAGCTGAGTTAATAGAATTGTACCAATGTAAATTTCTTAGCTTTGACCATTGGTTTTGATCATTATACTTTGGTTTGGTATGCTGTTAACATCAGGAGGAGCTTGGTGAAAGGCACGTGTAAACTAGATACTATTTTCGCCACTTTTCTGTAAACCTAAAATTAAGAAGTTTTTAAAAAGACATTGGGGAGAGAAAATTATCTCTTACAATGTCCTGCTACATTGAAAAGAGGTTTTAAAGGAGAAGAATTCTGTGGTTAAAGAGGTTCCCAAAAAACAAAGTAAAAGGAACTTCAGACACAAAAAAGGAACTGCACATGGAAGACATCATTTAACCCCTGTTATTCTCTCAACAAAACCCCCACACCTAATCCAATGGCCCCTTGTATCCTTAAGCTATGTTAGAGGACCTCTTCTGAGGGGTGATGAGAGGGAGTAGAGAGGTAAAGGCCTCTCAACATCAAAACATGTGCCGGTGATATCTGCCCACAAGATTTTTGTGAAGATGAGAAAATATGTGAGAAAGCCGAATTTGTTGATTGATACATAATGGGCTCCCAGTAAAGGTTAATTTCTAAGGGAAGGAGATGAGTTAGTGTTTAACCTCACCCTCATGTGTTCACACAGGAGAGGGGAGTTTTGTTACATTTCCGGAATAGCTGTGGGAATAAAACATTCAGTCTCTCTCCTCGTTTTCCATTCTTTTTCGAGAGGAAGAACATCTTCTCTTAGTTTTAAAATCACGTAACGACTAAAGAGACTGGGCCACTTAGCCAGTTAGCTGTTTACATCAAGACAGACTCCTTGGCCACTCACTAACCATAGACTGCCTGCCTTCAACGTCTGGAAGGAACCCTGGCTTCCTCCTGCAGAGTGTAAGTGAAGAGAGACCTGCTTTGCCATGCTCATCCTCCTCCGGCTTTCCATCCACAAGTGAGTGGATACGCCAGGATTGCACGGTCCCAGGATCCTTTCTCAATGGACAGTCCTAGAAACATTAATAGACTACCCTCCAGCCCTTTGATAAAACATAGATTTTTACCTCTGGACTTGTCTTTATAGACATTCTCTTTGGACTTTAGAAGAGAAGTAATAGAATCTAGGCATCAAGCTTGACTCTGAACTTCCTATGGTTCTATTTTCTTACTTTTACAGAAGACTTGAATTTACTGTAATTATGATATGTTATGTAATCTTTGTCCAAGAGGGTTTCTGAATCCTAGCCTTACCTGAATTGTCCATTTAAGATATCTTTTATTTTAAAAAAATAAAATAAAAAATAGAATCCAAGGGCAGGGATTTTACTAAGTCTGAAATATTTTGCTGGAATGACTTAAATTCTAATCAATTTTGACTGCCAGAGTGGAAAGGTGGAATTCAAAAACAAATTAAAAGAATCCTTTGGCAGTTCTGTTTGAGAGATAAGCAGATCAATGAAGTGATTATCATCCTAGGACAGAACCTCAACTACATTTCCTTCCCCCAAAGACTGCCCCTATATAATATTTTAAATCGTATTGAACAGCCTGAATGTACACAGCAGTTGGTAAATGCTGTGAGAAATAGGAAAGATGCATGCATCTCCTCAGAAACTCACAATCTTATGGAGGAAATGACAGAATGACAAAATATATACTCAGATTAGCAAAAACCATCAAGAGTACTCAAGATTATGTGACAAAATGGGGCAGAACCAATAAGTGCCATAGAAAGTTAATGGAAGAAATGATCAACATTGCCAAGTATATTTGGGGAATGCTCCACAAGGATGTGAAAACTGAGACAGATTCTGAAGAGCTGATATTTGCCATGGTCAAGACAAGCACACGTCAAAAAATGGTGTAGTAGGCAGAATAATGTCACCTCCTCCTCCCAAAGATCTCCATATCCCAGTCCCCAGAACCTATGACTTACATTACCTTTCATGGCAAGGAGGACTTTGCAGATGTGATTACTGCTTGAAGAATGGGAGATTATCCTGGAATATCTTTGTAGGCCCACTCTAATTACATGAGTCCTTAAGACTGAAGAAAAAGGCAAAGGTTCAGTCAGAGAGACAGGAAGAGCGAAGCAGCAGCAGCAGGAGAAATCTGGAGCTTGAGAGAAACTTGACCCACTGTTGCTACCTTTGAAGATGGAGAAGGAGACCACAAGCCAAGGAATACAGGCAGCCTCTAGACACTGGAAATAACCCTCAGCTGACAAAGAACAAGGAAACAGGTCCTCAATCCTCCAATGACAAGGAACTGATCCTGGAAACAGAATTTCCCCTAGAGCCTCCATACAAGAATGCAGCCCTGCTGACAATTAGATTTCTATCCACTGATACCCATGGACGGCTTCTGACCTGCAGAACTGTAAAATAATTAATTAATTAATAATTATTCACATGGTGAAACGCCCTCTCTACTAAAAATACAAAAATTAGCTGGGCATGGTGGTGCAGGCCTGTAATCCCAGCTACTCAGGAGACTGAGGCAGGAGAATCGCTTGAACCCGGGAGGCAGGAGAATCGCTTGAACCCGGGAGGCAGAAGTTGCAGTGAGCCAAGATTGCACCCCTGCACTCCAGCCTGGGTGACAGAGTGAGCCTCCATCTCAAAATAAATAAATAATAAAAATTAAAAATAATAAAAATCTATACACATGGCACAGTTCCTATCACTTACAGTTCCCGTTGCTTAGAGAACCTAAGGCAAAAACATTCATTTATTTCTTGTACAGTACTTAATCTATGCAGCCCCTTGGGAACACCATGAAATATGCCTGTAAATATTCTGACCCTTCCTGAGGATCCTCAAATGGCTACCACGGCCATAACTCACTTCCGAGAGTTTCCTGATATCCATGTCTCCACCCACTGAACTATGTAGCCCTAATGCCTTGGAAGTAAATGAACTAGGAAAGGACACCTGATCTAAGGTCAGCAAAGTAGTCCACCTGAAGCTTATCTGGTGATAAGTGACCTAGGAGCATGCTATATTTTGACTCAATCAAATCCTGTTTGACACTAACAGAGTCATCAGACAGAGGGTTGTTGGAAGGAAGAGACAGAAAAAAATGATAAAAAGAAGCCATTCAGAAGCTGACAGAAGGCATGAGCACAACCCACAAGTTAGCAGAAAGTCAATACTAAAATAAGGAAAAAATGAGGAAACCATAGGCAGCTGATGATGATGATAGGAGCAAAAGAAGCAGAGTGTCCACACGTGTGCAGCAGGAGAAGGAAGGAAAAAACTCCTCTTACAGAGGAGGCACGAGAGAAAAGGACTACATGAACCATATTGTACTGGAATGAGCTTCTGAGAAAACGTCCTGTTGTTTATTTTCTTTCTTTATAAAGAAACAAAGAACTTATCTCAAGGCTTTTTCTTGTTGGGTGACCTAACATCTCTCTTATTTTGCAACCTGAAAGAACTGAACTAACACACAGGTTTACATGACTCTTCTTGCTGAGTGTGACCTGCTCTGCTGAATGAAGAGACAATCATTGCAAGGGACCCTCTTGACTTTTGACTTCTGTGGATTTCATTTATTGTTGTCTGTTGAGTTACTTATTGAGAAGTTGGCTATGATTCACCCAAAATTACTCTGATAACCAGCCATTCCAAACATCACAGAAATAAGAAGTTAAACAGGAAATCAAAAACTAACTTTAATTCTATGTAAATACATCATTTCGCAATTAAATATATGCACAGTCATAGTGTACTATCCTTTTCAGTTGTCTCAGGATGCTATCCCTCTTTCCTCTATTAAACTATAAATTGTTGAAGTGAGAGAATCCATATCTCAATTATATAGAATATTGAGCTATATACCTAATACATATGTATTGGCCCATTGCCTTTTGGAACTTTTGACAAAATGATGTTGTTTCTGAGAATGATGATCAAAATTCTCACAGCATAATCCAAGACCATCTTTCCTCCCTTTCTACCATGAAATGCTGTCCCCCTTGACCCCCGACTCATGAAAAAATCCTCTTCTAAATGTTTCAGTTACAAGAATAACACCCCACTGATGGCAGACACCAGATATACTACTTGGAAATGTCTTTCATTAAAAAAAAAAAAAAAGGATCTAGAGTTACTTTAAGGTATATGCATGGCTTCCTCACCTCTCTTTTAGATATGGATGAATATAGTTACCATTGGCTGAACAACTATTATATGCCAGTCGTTGTATATACATTATAACTAAACATGAACTGTTGTGAGGGGAAGGCACTAGTCACTTCACTTTAGAGGTGAGGAGCTGAACTTCAGAGGGATTACATTGCTTGGCCAAAAGCGTTCAGCTCTAAATGGCTGATTCTAAAGTCGGTATGTTCCAAATCCTAATGCCTTCCACTTTCTCATGCCTACCTTATAGTCCTTGTTTACTGATTTGAAGTGTACAAGAAAGCAGACCCCGAATATTTCAGGAAGCAGGAAGCAGGGTTATGATTCCTATTTTAATCTGTCTAATTTAATTATCAAGTACTCAGGGAAGGTCAGTAGTCTGTGCTATAGCTTTAAGGAGAAAAGGTTTACATTAGGACTTGGTGCCACCTATTGGTTAATCCATAAGACTAGTGAGATAGTAGTCAGTTTCACCTCTACTCCCTTCCCCGAAAATGAACCAATCTAGACGTATGCACAAAATCTTTAAAAATAAAAGTCATGTCAACTTTTCTCTCAGTCCCATTCTTTCCCACCTCCAGTCTCCAAAATCTGTGTTCAGCCAGTTGCCGCCATGTAAAAATGACTGGATTAGAAATCAATTCCAGTTCTCCAACTAATTACTTTAAACTCTGGAGAGGTGAATCAGTTTCCTCGAGTTGGAGTTTCTCACCCACAAAATTAGATGATAACTGCCTTCCTTCATACCAAGTTTATTGTGAGGCTCATATGTGAGAATATATGGGAAAGGGCAGCATAAAGAAGATAGCACTTTATTGACCTAATGTTACTGCCATACTTCATTGCCACCTATCACTACTTTTGAAAGTCTGACTCTGTGAAGGTGCTGCTCACATGCAGATTTCCTAAATTTATTCTTGTCTGTCAGAGTTCATGATCTCTTCTTTTAAATTATGAATTCCAAAGAAAGTGGGCAGAACATAGCAATCTTTGTATACTCATAGTACATACCACAAGGTTGCACATATACTGGTGGCTCAAAAATATGTTTAATTTTTTCAAATATTGTTTCTTCAATGAGCAATGTGGTATCCAGTGAGAATCAACTTTGAAATGATTCGTTGAGAGATGACTTTTAATAACAGGTAGTATTGAGATTCAGAGGGGTAAGGGAGGTAATGTGAATTTCATTTAGACATGGTCATAAACTCTTCTGTGAAAGAACTGAGGGTGGAAACGCTGAGCAAATGATCCCCTTACATTTGTCTATAATGTTTTCTTTTTTAAAATTTTCTGTACAAATACTGTAATTATAAATTATAAATTACTTACCCAAAAGTTACAGTGTACAGGCATGCCTCGGAGATACTGCAGATTCAATCCCAGACCACACCAATAAAGTAAATATTGCAATAAAGTGAGTCACATAAATATTTTTCCAACCCCAAAACCTAAAATGCAATTTAAAAAAAAAGTCAACACTGTTTACAATAGCAAAGACCTGGAATCAACCCAAATGCCCATTGATAATAGACTGGATTGGAAAAATGTGGCACATATACACCATGGAATATTATGCAGCAATCAGAAATGATGAGTTTGTGTCGTTTGTAGGGACATGGATGAATCTGGAGAACATCATCCTCAGCAAACTGACACAAGAACAGAAAATGAAACACCGCATATTCTCACTCATAGGCGGGTGATGAAAAATGAGAACACATGGACACAGAAAGGGGAGTACTAAACACTGGGGTCTATTGGGGGGAAAGGGGAGGGCCAGTGGGAGGGGGAGGTGGGGAGGGATAGCCTGGGGAGAAATGCCAAATGTGGGTGAAGGGGAGAAGCAAAGCAAAGCACACTGCCATGTGCGTACCTACGCAACTGTCTTGCATGCTCTGCTCATGTACCCCAAAACCTAAAATCCAATAAAAAATTTAAAAAAAAAAAAAGTCAAAAAAAAATTTTTTTTTCCAGTGCACATGAAAGTTATGTTTATATTATTGTGTAGTCTATTAGGTACACGACAGCATTGTGTCTAAAAAATGTACATACCTTAATTAAATATACTTTATTGCTGAAAATAATGCTGTCAATCATCTAAGCCTCTGGCGAGTCATAACCTGTTTGCTGGTAGAGGGTTTTGCCTCAGTGTTGATGGTTGCAGACTGACCCAGGTGGAGGTTGCTGCAGGTTTGGATGGCTATGTCAATTTCTTAAAATAAGACAACATTAGGTTGGCAATGTCAGTTGACTCTTCTTGTCACAAAAGATTTCTCTATAGCATGTGACACTGTTTTATAGCATTTTACCCATGAAAAAATTTCTTTCAAAACTGGCATCAATCCTCTCAAACTCAGCTGCAGCTTTATCAACTTAGCTTAATATTCTAGATCTTTATTGTCATTTTTCACAGTATCATCTTCACCAACAGTTGGGTCCATCTTAAGAAACCACTTTCCTTGTTCATCCATAAAAAGCAACTCCTCATCCATTCATGTTTTCTCAGGAGATTGTGGTAATTCATTGCCATCCACAGGCTCCACTCCTAATCCTATTTCTCTTGTTATTTCCACCACATTTGTTGTTACTTTCTCTATTGAACACTTGAACTCCTCAAAGTCATTCTTGAGGGTTGCAATCAATTTCTTCCAAATTCCCGTTAATGTTGACATTTAGACCCCTCCCGTGAATTATGAATGTTCTTAATGGCATCATAAGATAGGGAATGGTGAACCCTATCCAGAAGGTTTTCAATTTCTTTTGCCCAGATCCATCAGAGAAATCACTATCTATGGTAGTTATAATTCTTACAAAATGAATATCTTAAATAATAAGACTTGAAAGTCAAAATTTCTCCATGATCCATGAGCTGCAGAATAGATGCTGTGTTAGCAGGCATGAACACAACATTCATCTCCTTGTGCATCTCCAACAGAGCTCTTGTGACCAGTTGCATTGTCAATGAGCAATAATATTTTGAAAGAAATTTTTTCTTTCAAATTAGGTAGGTCTAACAGTGGGCCTAAAACAGTGGGTTGTAGGTCTCAACAGTGGGCTTAAATTATTCCATAAAGAAATCTATAAGAAGATGTGTTGTCATCTAAACTTTGTTGTTCCATTTCCATAGCACAGGCAGAGTAGATTTACCATAATTCTGAAGGGGCCTAGAATTTTCAGAATGGTCAGTAAGTACTGGCTTCAACTTAAAGTCACCAGCTTCATTAGCTCTTAACAAGAATCAGCCTGTTCTTTTAGGCTTTAAGCCAGGCACTGACCTCTCTAGCTATGAAAGTCCTAGAGTGGCTTCCTATAGAAGGCTATTTTATTTACATTGAAAATGGTTGGTTGTTTTCTCACTCATAGGTGGGTGTTGAACAATGAGAACACCTGGACTCAGGGAGAGGAGCATCACACACTGGGGGCAGTTGGCGGGGGTAGGGAAAAGACAGCAGGGGGTGGGGAGAGTGGGGAGGGTGGGGAGGGATAACATGGGGAGAAATGAAGATATAGTATGCACCTAAAGTAAAATTAAAAACAAACATATAAATAAATAAATAAGAAAGAAAATGTATTGTTTAATGTAACCACCTTTATCAGTGATCTTAGCTAGATCTTTTGAATAATGCTGCAGCTTCTACATCAGCACTTGTTGCTTCACCTTGTACTTTTATGTTATGGAGATGGTTTCTTTCCTTAAATCTCATGAACTAAAAACTCTGCTGGCTTCCAACTTTTCTTCTGCAGCTTTCTCACCTTTTTCAGGCTTCATAGAATTGAAGAAAGTTAGAGTCAAGTCTGGAAAGGGCTTTTGCTTAAGGGATGTTGTGGCTGGTTTGATTTTCTATCTAAACCATTAAACTTTCTTCAAATCAGCAATTAGACTGCTTCGCTTTCCTATAATTTGTGTTCACTGAAGTAGCTCTTTTTTTTTCAAGAACTCTTCCTTTGCATTCACAGCATAGCTAAGTGTACGGCACAAGAGGCCTAGATATTGGCTTATCTCAGCTCTTAACAGGCCTTCCTCACTAAACGTAAGCATTTCTAGCTTTTGATTTAAAGAAAGACGTGTGACTCTCTCTCTCACTTGAACACTTACAGGTCATTGGAGGGTTGTTAATTGGCCTAATGTCAATATTGTTGTGTCTGAGAAAACAGGGAGGCCAAAGGAGAGAGACAAGTGTTCAGTCAGTCAGTGGAGCAGTCAGAACACACACGACATTTATCAATTAAGTTCAGTCTTGTGTCAGCCCACAAAAATTACAATAGTAATATCAAAGATCACAGATACAATAATAATTAAAAACTTTGATTACCCATATGTGACACAGAGACATGAAGTGAGCATGTATTGGAAAAATGGCACTGATGGACTTGTTCGACACACGTTTGTCACAAACCAATTTGTAGAAAATGCAATATCTAAAAAGCACAATAAAGTGAAATGCATAAACTGAGGTATGCTGTCCAAGTCAACACAAGAGCAAGGGTTTACTGACCAATGTTCTTTCCACTAGATTGTGATATTACCTCACTGCACAGCCAGAGCTCAGGTTATTCTGATACACACATACTCCTATTCACCCCTCAAAACACAGCTGAAATGTCACTTCTTTGGAAAGTCTTTCATGGTGCCCTCAGGTAGAGTTCATAGCATATCCTCTTTAATCCCATGATGCACAGCAACCCTTTTATTCATTTTCAGGGTTTCTTCCCCACCCCACCCCAAAATCAGCAGTACCCTATCCCACCACTTAGCACAGTGCTTGACACATTTAGATGATGTATAATCATGGATTCACACTGACTCATTGCTGTCCTGAGCAACAGCTGCATCTGGACACTCACCGTTAATAGATAAAAGGCTGGATGACTTCCTTTACCTAGTTATATCTATGAAAGCATGAACAAAGAAACATGACAGAGAAATATATCTCATGATTTAAAAGGTTAACCAAGACTTTGAACAGCATTTAGAAATTGCCCATTTTAAAATGTTAACTATCAGTCAACAATGAAGAACCCTAATAGCATTGTGATGTATAGCATTATGTGGTAGGTGAAGGCTTTGGAGTCAAAGTCTTGAGTTCAAATAAAAATTTGTTTTCTCTAGACTTACACAAGTGGCTTCATTTCTCAAATCCAAATCTATTGTCTTTGATCCCACTTTTTTGTACCTTTTTAGCAAACTATATCCAGTCCTATTCCATCTATCTTTGTTTGTATACAGTGTATTCTCAAGAGTACTCAGTGATCCCTTAGAAATGTAAGATCTTCTGTTCCACGGTCTTCAATTGCAATGCTCAACTGCATTCCACCATGGGAATGAGGGTGGTGGGATGAGAAGTCTAGGTGGGAACTCCTACAGATACGACACCAGGTGACAGCAGATCTTCATTACTCTAAAATGACAGATGTAAAAAGATTGGATTTAAAATCTATCGATTTTCACATGAAACTTTACTACTGACCCTTTTAACAAAATAAAAGGAATCCTTCAATTTATTAAATAAAACTGAGCTGTTGCAAATGATTATTTAAGTGAATTCCATTTTTTTCACCTGCTGACTTGTAAAAAGTTTCTAACTGATGATACTATCAAGAATTTGAAGCAATTGTCATTAAAAAGTCTTCTCAGAATTGTCTTTGGTTGTTTGAGGACTAAAATCTGATACAAAAATAAAATGTATGGTCATAGAAATGAGTTCATGTCTCTTATTTAAAGTGAGATTTTATTTATAAGTTCCACAAAAAGTAAAAGTTTTAATATTTCCCCTCATACTTTATTCTTAAAGGAATTACATAACATAGAGAAAATATAATAATTTGTTTTTCACCAAACCCAGTGTAGGTTATTTCAGATCCCCTCCAGTTTTCCCAGTCTGACTACAAATAGCTTCACTTTCTTTGTCTATGATTATATGACACATTATTGGAAAGTACCAGAATAATGGTCAAGACAGAGACAGCAAACCAATTCAGATCCACATTTCACTACTCACTGATCTCAAATGAAATCCTTCTGAACTTGTTTTTTTTATTTATGAAATAAGGATAGCCTTATAAGCTCTTATGAGGTGCTTCCTGTAAAGCATTCAGCGCAATGCCCAGCACGTTGTAATAACACCTGTGTCGTGACAATAGCGTGATGCAAATGGTTGATACTGATGCAAAACTTCACATTACAAAATTGATTGTACATGTCAGTTATTTAGGTTTCTTCAGATAACCAAAATTATGACTAACTCGTATCTGGAGCCTTATGAAAGCATAGTAAGAATCAGCTGGGTGCGGTGGCTCATGCCTGTGATCCCAGCACTTTGAGAGATCAAGGCGGGTGGATCACCTGAGGTCAGGAGTTTGAGACCAGCCTGGCCAAAATGCCAAAACCCCATCTCTACTAAAAAATACAAAATATTAGGTGGGCTTAGTGGCAGGAGCCTGTAATCCCAGCAACTTGGGAGATTGAGGCAGGAGAACTGCTTGAACCGGGAGGTGGAGGTTGCAGGGAGCAAAGATCATGCCACTGCACTCAAGCCTGGGCAACAGAGCAAGACTCCGTCTCAAAAAAAACAAAAGTATAGTAAGAATCATACATGCATTACACAAACAAGAGCTGAGAACCTTATTTCCCACACACTGTGCTGAAAATTTGCCAAAGTTTATTAAATGGGGCTTGGTATTTAAATTAAATGATCTCAGCAAGTGACACAAATTAGAGAGCACTAAATGAGAATTTCCTTAATTCAATCTTGAAACCATAAAATGTAGCCTAAAGAAGAT